CACTAAAACCAATAGAAGGTTTTTTTTCTCACTTTCCCCTTCCCATAATTTTCACTTGCATTTTAAATTTTTTATGATTGAGTCCACCTCTGCCTTCAAATTGAGTAGAAATGTCGCATGTACACTCTCAAATATAAAACTCTCATATTTGACGATTCAACAATCCTTGAAAAATAACTGAATTGACGGATGTTAACACAGGTGGGCATTGGGGAAGAACTTTGAAAACTTTCATATTTTTGTTGATTCTGCGAGTCATTTCGTCACGAAATCACATGATTTATGACGAAACACGAACTACCTAATACATGACAAAAATGTTTTTTTTTAATTGCGAAACCTTATCATAGTTGCATTGTGGGAGATAGTCAACTAGAATGAAAACTGGATCATCGAAAATAAAGTGATGATAAAATCAACCATCCTGTGTAGTGATCAAGCTGTAAGACGCAAACAGGAAGATCCCAAGTTCGAATCCCGCTTCGGACATGGGTGTAATTTAGCTCTCTGTTATTTCAGTCTCGCGCTGTTTGAGAAACATTGATCCACCTATATGGTCCCCACGATGAAGTCATTATATATTAGGTGATTAGACATTAAGCGCTATAAGTTACTATTTTTTGGAAAATATATTGATGAAATATTTGTTTAATTTTGACAAAATTCGTTTCCTCGAAAAAGTGACGATAGCTATTTTATCACTTCGAAGAAATGTTTGCTCGGAGCATGTACCAGGAAACGATTTCGCAAAAGTAAAGAGAGTTTCGTGAAATTTGAGTATCCATTTCATGCAGTGCAGGGAACTCTCTAATATCGGGCATTAAATACATTTAAATAAGCTTATTTACTATTCATGAGGAAGATAAACATTGAAGTTTTATTTAAAAAAAATGGAAGATATACTCCAAGTGTTGCTTAGTAGATTTTAATGCAACTTATTTTCCCTTCTAATCTATTTTTCTCCTCTGAAAAAAAAAAGACACGCATATCTTCCCTGAAGCAATTTTAAAAAATATATAAAGTTTAGAAAGCTGATGCCTAATATTTTTAACAAAACTGAAATATTGCGCGTTAATATATAAAATAGTCAAAAATTTCATTCATATTCATCAATAACACTATTAGTATTTCAAACAGTTTAAATTGTATCGAATTTTTTCTTTTTATATATTTTTTTTTGAAAAGAAAATTAAAATGAAAAAAAAAAACTCTAAAGAATTAATGGAAATAAAATAAAAGAAAGTCAAAAAATGTTTAGCCAAATTCACGACTACGAATATTTTAATTTATTTCAGGAATTGTTTTTGGTTATTGTAATTTATACCGTTTTTTTTTCTTTCTTAAATGTTTTTAGCTATAACTGAATATTGTTCCGTTTTAATAATCTTTAAAAATTTATAAAAAAATCTAAAAAAAAAATAGTTTAAAACATTCTTTATCTTGAACTAAATCAAAATTACAAACAAAATAAATTTTGATAAGCAGTGTTGAACATTTTCATGTTGTGTTCTTTAATAGTTTTGATGTGTGTTATTAAAAATTTTAAAAAATAAGAAGAAAAAAGTTTAGCACCATTAGCATATTAATAAGGGAAAACAGCAAAGCCAAGTTTTATCTTAAAATTTTCAATTCTTTTTTTTTTACTATTTGTAAAGCTTATTTCTAGAATTGCATCATCTTTCAGTAGTAAATTTTAACACAAATAAATTAATTTCTGATAACCTTAATACAAATCAGTTACTCTTAAATTTGCCTTCTTTTATTTAAAGAAAAATAATTTCCCTAATTAACTACACATAACAGTTTGTTTAGGCAATAGTAGCTGTTGGTGCCTATGGCGCATTTAAGTAACGCCTTTCATGCAACCGTTTTGTTCATTGCAACGAATTAATGAGTCATTAGTTGTATGACTCATGAAAACATAACAGTTTAAATTAATGTATGTTTTCAATGTATGTTTGTAATGTATGTAATATGTTTTCAAATTAGTTTAAATAAATTGATATTATGTCGTAACTTCTCATCGTAATTAAAATTTTGATCATTGTTCAGATTCTCTTACGACGAGACCTTATAGTTGCGTTGTAATTAAATTTTCAAAGTGTAAATAAAAGGTAATAAATTAGCAATATAGTTATCGACAATGAAAAAAATAGGTATGGTCAAAACTACTATAATTTGGTATAAGTTGGTCTAAGGTATTATATAATATGTAAGAACTATTATTTTGAAAACTAAAATTTCCGGTAAACCGTTACTATTTGAATGGAAAAAAAATAACTAAATGAATGGCTTAAACGCCGTATATTTTAGCCTTATTAAAAAGAAATATGATTATTTTTTACCAGAAATGTGATTACAACAAAGTACGGAATTGTACAAGATTTTTTTTTTTATTATCTATGCACGCAAATAAAATACTATAAATACTGTTATAATAATAGAATAAAAGATATACTATGTATACTATAATTCTAAAAAGGAACCTTACATCTAACTGAACATCTCATAAGGGTAGAGAAGTAAAGAGCAAGCACGCGATGGGAGAAACAGATGTTAGGGGATTTCCCCCTTTTTCATTATCTAGCTCAAGCTTGTTCCTCTGATCCTATTGTTTGAACCAGTTTACGCGCGTTTGTCTCTTTACTTCTCTACCTTCATTTGGTGTTTAGACTTTGAGAAGAGTTCTTTTTAGAGAACTGAAATAATAGTATGCCCAGTTCTGCATTTTCATTTCTGATTTATTCACATTATTTTTTGTTTTAGTCGACATAGCTTAACGTATACATCTTCCATTTTGATAGTAATTTTCAGTTAAAGAATAGTGTGAAATGCAAAAATATAGACTATTTCTTTTATTCTCAAAAAATAGTTTTATTCTCTGTAATTTCTTTTTCTCTATAAGTCTCAAATAAAGAAAGAATGCATATAAGATTAGAAAAAACGACAAATAACAAGCCTTTTAGATCGTAAAATGAACTAAAAATATTTACAAACTATTCTGTCATAACCATACATGCATGAGCCTTTCAAAAGTTAAAAACCAACATTTCTTTTTGAAATTTTATTAACCCAGCTTATATCTCTGGACTAATGCCAAGAATGTTGGTTTTGGTGTGCTTAAAAATGTCAAAACTGACACTTTTTGAAGATTCAACTATGATCCATCACTAACTAAAAACTTACTTTTCAAATAATCTTTCAGACAGAAAATATCTGTAAAAGCTTTCTTCTTTTTTATTTACTGTTTAAAGTACATTTTCTTTAACTTTTCTGATAGATGTAAATATTTTTTGATTTTAGTGTTTTCTGTTTAAATTTCTGCAGTGAGAATAGTAACTTTAGCACTTTTCCTTTGTTGAATAACTAAAATATTAATTTTTGTTATTTAACATTCAGTTAGTTATTATTTAATCGTTTTTAAATAAAATATAATGAAATGCCTATTGTTTTCTCATATTTGCAATTTTGCTCAGACTCATAATTTTTTTTTCTCGAAAGGTTATTTTCGTGATTTAAAATATATAATTGAAATCTAAATAATATCTTTTTAAACGTAACTACATTTTAAAAATATTATACATGATATAAAATTCTATTCTTAATAAAAAATATTTACTATTTCAAGAGATTTTTATTAATATTCTTTAATGTTTAAGGAGTTTATGAGGAACAGACAAAATGGAAATCACATACCGTTATAATCCGAGTCCAAAACTTTATAATTTAAATGAAATTGTGAAAGGCTGAACTAAATGAAATGCTTTTTATTTAATAACTTAGAACATGTTGAGCAGCAACATTATTTAATAAATTTTATATTGTTAATAGAAATGACAGCCGAATAATTGTGTTTGATATTATGTATGATATTGTGATTAAATGTAATAAATTAAAAGATTGAAATTGGGTTTAATAAAATAGCTAAATCTAATAAAAACTATTAAAATAATTCTGAAAATAGTTTTATTTATAACTCATTAGATGAATTAAAGCCGGGATTGCCTAGTTGGTAGGTGGGTGGGCACTTGTCAAATAGGTCGTGCGTTAGATGCCCACGTGTTGAAGATTCCCCGTGTAGTAAATGGCGCATGGTGCATGGTAAAACAGTCGAATCACAAAGTTCTCCATGTTTCTATAACTAATCGTACCTCTGAGGGTACTGAATTGGAGATTGATCGTTCTCTGGTTCAGGTTAAAAATACGATCTGTGAATGAATGAATGAGTGTATGAATAGGTACGCCCTATAAACGGGCTGTGATTTATGTTTGCGTGGCAGAAGTTGAATTCTTGACTTTTGATGGTGCCAATGGAAAACAAGAAGAAAAGCACCCCTTTCGCCTTAATGTCATACGACGAAAACTTCTTTTTAACAAATTTCTTTTGACAATTTTTTGTTTTATTTTAGGCAGAACATTTTTAATGCATGTGCAGTGAGCAGTAGTGGCTCGGGGAATAGAGCAATCACCTTAACGCAAATACGGGTTAATTCCATGAAAAAAGTCCACCACGAAAGCAAATTTTTCCCAATACTTGACCCAGGAGTTCCCTTGTCCTCTGGATTGAATTTAAAATTATAAGGATACAGAGTTGAACATTTTTAATCGTAAACCCAAAATTGGGTCAGCTGTTGAACGTCTGCAAAAAGTAAAAATATATTAGCAGCAGAGTGATTAAGACGGGTTTTAAGAAAAAAAACAGGTGCAAGAAGTATTTGAAATCTTTGTTTCAAAATGTTTTAAGGAATTTATGCACGTTGAAATAATAAATACAGAAACTAGAAGTGAAACATAACAGCTGGATTTATTTAAAAAATAATGAAGAAGATGAAATAAAAAATTATCCCTTTTTCTCAAATAACTTTATTCCTAATTTCTACATTTCATGAAATTGAATTTGAAAACTCAAAGTCAAAATAATTTTAAAAGTTCAGTCAACGCACAATTACGCAAACTTGAAGGAGTATACTAAAAATTTTGTGTTTTTCCAAAATAAATTATTTTATTTAGAATAATAATAATATAGATAATTAAAGAATATGATACAGAAATTTTCCCTCCTGAAAAGTGTGTTCAAAGAAAAAGTATTTTTAAATGTAGGAATTTAAAAAATGCTGCCATAAATCATGATAAAATTTACATGTTTACAATTGTCATAACATCGTAATTTTTAAGTAATAATTACCGGAAAATCCCTTAATCACTCTAATTTAATTAATATTGCTGCAAAAATTATGGTTTACAATTTTACTGTAAAAAGATTTGAAAGATGATGCACATCCAAAGTACCGGTACTTTATGCCATAATTTGCTTCTGAGTTTTTAACAGTATACTTTGAAACAACTATTTTTCAGAAGAAAATTCTTATTAGCAAATAATCCGCGCTCTCATATCAAAAACTTATATTTAGGTCAAATATCACACAAAGAACCCATTTTGCGCAATGCCATAGCAGGGATTATCTTGCGTAAGTTTAAATATAGCCATATGCTGGAACTAAATGAATATTTATAACCATTCGAAATGACTGTCATAAACTTATTTCTTTGCCTGACCTTCAGAAAAACATCGTCTGAAACAACAGCCTCTTTCATCACTTTACATCCCCGTATATACATTCTCTGGACGCCCTTAGGATTGGGAGGTTGGCCAAGTGATCAAACAAAAATGTTCGAAAGAATAAAATACATGACATAAACGGCACGTAGTTTTTTGATGAGCTCATTTGTAAATAGAAGACTACCTCTTTTGAATGTAAAGTATTTAGTTATAAAAATAGAATAATGTGATTGAGGATTTTTTTGTCTTTAAAAACATCCAAAATGTTCCAGATTATGCTTATTTGCAGTAAATAGTTCATGTGTGGTCTTAATAAAATTGTTTTAGTTTCTGAATTACAAATTATGATTTATATTCACTAAATTTGTATTCAGCATAACTTAACAAAGATAAACGTTATCAATTGCCTTAAGCTTCTTATTAAAATATATCAGGTATTGTTCAATGTTGTCTTTGAGCTGACTAACTTATTATCATTAGTGAACTATGATGACTAAAGCAATTATGTGACTAGCTGGTAAAAATATATTTTTAAGTAATTCGTCGTAAGTATATTTCAAATTCGATTTTATATCTTTAGAAATTATATTTCAATATTATTTTAATTATTAATAATTTAAAGTGTAGCTATTATGTTCTGATATACCGCAAGTTTATTTCAAACTATGAGTAACAAGAATTTATTTCAAGCATTTTTTTTTGCAAAATTGTATCTTAAATACATTTGCAAAAAAATCGTAAAAGAAAACTTAATTTAATGTAGAACAATTTTTCAAGCCACCAGTTTGAAAAAAAATAAAAACATATTTTGCAAGTAAATATTACATTTACTATTTATAAAAATATTTCTTTTTTGTTAAAATCTGAAGTGAGAACGCTTTAAATTGCCAATTATGAACATGTGCATGGCAGAGCTTTCCTTTCGCTTTATTATCTGCTTTTCATGATTTATTTCGGTATATAATCTGTAAAAATAAAAGCAGTTTGTTGCCTTACAAATTAATTTTATTTATTTATTCAATAGCTGGTCCAAAAACAATTTAGATGTCGATGTTAAGTTAATTTTGTGTAGTATCCAGTTCGTTTTTTAGCACAGCACTGAAACGCAAACCGAATACTACTCCAAAGTAACTTAACATCGAATTCTATACACGAAAACAACAAATAACTTTGACACAAATAATACAAAATGATAATATTGTTCAAAATATTGCGAGCAATTTTTAAGATAACTACGAAAAAACATTTAGGATCGCCGCAGTGACGTATAAGTAGCACAAATTTTTTTTTCTGATGTTGGTCGCAACCAAGCTACTGATACAACCAAGCTAGCAAATATTTTTAGGAAACTGAAGTCTGATGAGTTAAAGATAAACTCTTGTTCTCTCAAATAAGCCAAACGAGCAAAAAAAAACCCAACATTGTATTCAAGTCTGATGAATAAGGTGCTCAATCTTGTCCTGTAAGAAAGTCAGAAAAAACGTGTCTATCTCTAATCTTGACGGTAATAAGCTATGTTAGCTGGAATAAATTCCATTTAATAAATTCTATAAGGATCCATTTTTAATAACTAGAAAAAACTTCACTAAGGTCCATTTTCGCTTATACAGTCATCTTGCGAACACTTTTTAAAATTAGTTCGTGATATATTGCGAAGAAAACTGTTTGGTTTTCAGTTCCGTTCTAGTTATTTATTGTCATTCTGTTGTAGGCTGCGATGTAAACAGCTTTTCATGTAGTTTCCACTGTTGCAGTTTTCTTATTCAGTGGCGTTTAATGACCCGCTCTCCAGATTCACATTTTCTTAAATGAAATAAAAACTTAATTCCCGATTTTTTTAAAATTCTGGCAACAAATTTAAAAAGAAATAAAAGCTTGCATTACAATGGCGAGCAACTGCAGCTAAGAGGAAGATCTCCAAAAAGGTGCGTGAGGCCTTAAAGGTTGCTGCATTTAAATTAGCTTCCCATTTAGCTTTCAATTAAAGGTTTGAAATGGAAATCGTATAAACGTTGCGCTGCTTTTTTTAATAAAACCGGTTTCAATCTAAATTGTGAATTATAAAATTATATAAAAACAACAGATTGAAAAATATCTGGAAAGTGTGGAGAAATCAAAAGAACAGAAAAAGGCTATAAAAATATTGAACAAAAGACTTAGGGTTTTATTTTCAATTGTTAATTCGACTTTTTGTATTTTTAAATGTGTTTTTTTCTTAAATAAGTGTTATGACTTTCTGTTGCAGTTTAGGTAATGAAACTCTTTTAACAATATTTTTTATCGAAAAGTTTAAAAGACTTATTTTTATTGTTTTAAAAATTTTTAACAGATATTTTAAAAGAATAAATATTAATTTATGCTAATGAACTGCAACTAATTGTAATTTTTATTTATCGACAAAGGCATCATAATGTGAAAGAATAAAGATTATTTTATTTAATGCTACATTTTGTGCAAATATGTATGAATGTAAATTAAACAAATGAAACCTGACTTTAATGCGCTTATATAGTTGGATAATGGGTAAATCATTTGAGACCACCATTTATATTTAATTTAGTAGCACACTGTTAGCATCAATATTCCCATGTTGCTTATAATAGAGAAAGTTACATGAGCCATATCTATTTTTACTAGCATCTGTTTAACAAAAAGGAACGAGGACATTTTTTGCTTTCGTCTTGTGATAGTTGTATCAGTTTTCATGATGTAATGTTTATTAAGAATAATTACTTAAGCGACCTCATTGACTACGTTTTTACGAAAGAGTATTATATGATACATTAGGTATTAAGTAATTATGGTAGTAGTTATAAGAAAATACTCCCAGAGTAGGATCAAAATATATTACAGGAGATTAAAAATAAAAGTTGACTATGGAATCTACTAATCCATTAAAGTAATCTTAAAATGCACATCATTAAATTTTTGTATTTTTATGAGACTAATGGAGCATTTTCTAACATTCTTGAGAGATATAATTGAGGAGTAAGTCTAAATTAATTAAAAACATTAAATTCACCTAATATTTCATAACGTTTGGTTTCTATATACTCGATTCAGACGCTTTCAATGTAAAATTTACGATTGAGATTCAATCGAAATTATAATAAGAAAGTAATATATACAAAGATTTATGTTACAATTTTGAAACATTTTCAAAATCGCATATACTTGTTTAAAATTATGCCCGACGATCTACCATACAAAATGCATACGATATATGCTAACATTCTAAATTTAATGCATTTAATTTATTAGCTCAACTTGCTACGTTTGGTTTTAAAAATAATTCGACCCCCCCCCTTCTCCGTACAAAAATTTATCCCTCCATATGAACGCAGTAATATTGCTAGATATAATTAAGGTTTATTAATGGAATCAAACCATAATTTTTAAGCTTTTTTTTAAATATGCAATCAGAATATACGCTGTAAAAACTGTGGTGCAATATCTCGCCTAATCTGATATTTGAAAAAAAGAACATCCCAAAATTGCGCGAAGGAACATTTTATTCCGGGTTAACACCAAAACGATTTTTTAAATATAATTAAAATTTACATCTAAACACTTAAAATTGAATAATCTTACATTAAACTCTCAAGCTCGTTCACAATACAGGAATTGTTTTTACTTCCAAATTTTGGCGACCTTTGAATTTTAAGAAACGCGAAGTAGAATATCGTGAGTAGTTTAAATTTTTTTTTGTCGTATGCTTGCTTAGGCAGTGGGGGTGCGATTGTTCCTGTTTTTCAGTGGCGCCATCTATGGCCAGGAATTCGACTTCTGCCACGACATTCACACAACCACAACCCGTTTATAGGACGGGTCACATTCACACACAAAGGAGAAAGGACATAGAGCACAGAGAGAAAGAGAAAGAAACTTCCATGCCTTGCCCGGGATTCGAAACCAGGACCTTTCTGAAGCAAGGACAGTTCCCTGCCCCCTACTCTGGACGGTCGGCAGTAGTTTCTTTACAATCTGTAATAGGCAAGCAAGAGTTTGTTGTCATTTTCAACGCTGATATCCATCAACAGAAACAAAAGTTCGCCCATAAATATGTGGGTATATTTTTAATAGTATTATAAGGATAATTATATATAATTTTTAAATATCCGAGAATTATGTTATCTGATTTCAAATTCTGTCCGCTTCCATTTTATTAGGACTAGTTCGAATTCGTCTTCAGATTCTGTTTGTGTGCATGGCTGATGTCTGATTTACAGACTATCTTTATTTTAGGAATTAGCATATAATATACATTGAAATTTAATGATTCCTGCTTTACATTGTATTGTAAAAAAAATACTGAATCTTATGTATATCTTATCTTACTGCAATGATAAATTTAAATTTTATTAAATAAAAACATGTTGGGGGCAACTTTTCACCAAGTAGAGTAAAAGAACATTGGTGTAGTGAAGCACTAGTTTTAAGAGTTATGTATGACATTTCAATGCACCACTTTGATGTCAAGTAGTAGCTACCATTTTTGGCTTTGAGATACACTAAAATTTTTTACAGTGGAGAAATATAACAAAAAGCTCACAAATTTATTATGAGTAAAAGTTAAATGGTTATTTGTTTGTCTATATTTCATTTTTATTATAGTTAATATATTAAATAGAATTGAAATTATATCAGTTTAAAGTTGTGAAACATAAAAGCAGGGGCAAGCAATATCACTTAAGGATCAATATGAGGAAAAATGATACCTGATCTAATTTCGCTTTTTAAATGAAATAATAGAAGAAGCACAACTATTAACATCTTTTTTTTAAGCAAAACAAGTTCATGATTTGAAATATTTCAGTTCCAGAAGATCCTTAATTACATACGCATGGCTACATGAATTTTTTCAAACTAAAATCACGTCAATTTTACATTGTTAGAAATTTGTCCGAAAAAATGGTAAAATAACAGTTTGTTTAATTGTTATTTTAACATATTCAAACAAAACAGTCAAATAACAATTAATAAAATGGTATTCAAACTCTTAACTTTGATAAAAACCGTTTATTAACTGCTTTAATCTAATATGGTCAAACTACCTGAAATTTTTCGCTCCAACTAGGTTCACATAATAAAGCCATTTAGTTCCTTGTAGCTTGGTACATATTATAGCCGAGAGGGCTAATATATCAACCTCATGACCAAGTCAAAGCGTTGACACCACAATACTTCATCCATTACCTTCAACGCATGGAGAGTTTCCAGTGCCATACGCTCTCCAATTTGTGATCTTGGACTATTAGAATACAATACTCTCATTCACGCATAGATGGTAGCACCATAAAGCTGCCTAACATTTCCCATCTCTTACTATACGAGAAACATTCAATAAACTAATTAAACCATATTTCACGGTTTATTTTATAAAACACAGCTCAACCACAACCTAACTTCAATACTCATTACGAACGAAAAGCCAAGCTCCAGTGTGCAGTTACACTTCTTTTTTACGGTTTTGAAATCATGATAGTTATAAATCGTTCAAAAAACCTTATAGTTTTGCATTCGCGGTTTTTAACCATTCTAGTTG